CACCGTCAGCGTGGACCAGGTGCGCGTGGGGCAGACCAGCACCAAGCAGAAGACCAACAAACCCACCTACAACGAGGAGTTCTCGGCCACGGTCACCGATGGCCATCAGCTCGAGCTCTCCGTCTTCCACGACACCCCCATCGGCTACGATGACTTCGTGGCCAACTGCACCTTGCACTTCCAGGACCTCCTGCGCTCGGCCGGCCCCAGCGACAGCTTCGAGGGCTGGGTGAGTAGCCGCCCGCGGGAGAAGCTGGAGCCAGGCTCCTCTCCGAATGAATGAAGGCTGCTCAGAGCTGAGGCTTGTCCTTGCATGCCTGTGCTGCAGACACGCAGCCCGGTGTGTCTGTGTGTGCCTGCGTGTGCACAGGTGTGTTTCTCCATGCCTTTGTGTGTGCCCCTCTGCTTTAGGTTTGGTTAGGCTGCTGGTCCAGGTGATGCGTTTTGGGACCTTAAGAAGTCTCAGCTGTCATCGCTTGAGGCTCCAGACCCTTGTAGCTGTGAAGTCTCTCCTCTTTCTAGACTAGCCGAGAGTAATACAAAACTTGCAAAGTACATTACATACTTGTAATACATAACTTGCAAAGTACACCTACGAACTCCCACCAAGGTATACCTTCCTCCTTTTGCTTAGCACACAGAGATGTACTTGCAGACTTGGATACCTGGAGTTGGATGTATTTCTTCTCTGCTCGACACATGCTTGCACAATTGTTTGGTGTGTGCATGCAAATTTCTTTGACTTCTTAACAGAATGGCAGGACTAATCTTGTGTCTGTTATGTACAGTGCTGTGCTGGGTGAACACAGTTTCACTCACAGCTAATTCTAGGTTATTTCTCAATAAATGTCACTAGCATCCCTCCCAGAGAGCCTCATTTATGGCTTAGTCCTAATGGTGAGAGCACTAGTACAGGCTCTAAAGTTGTGCCTTTGCTTCCAGTACTGTAAAGGAGGAGGAAGGGATTGATCCAAACAATAGTTTGCTTGTAAGTGTTAGGTTAAAAAAAAAAAAAAAAAAGGCATTTATTCTGAGTAGAGAAGGTGCAGGAGAGTTAAGAATTGAAGGTTAAGATAAGTATAAACCTTTTCAGGCCAAGCTGTTCATCACGTGTGGTCAGGTAACCACCACAATAAAATCAGGCGTGGAGGAAGGAGAGCTGACAGTGTAGAGAACAGATAAGCATCTCGATCCTATCGCTGGGGAGAATGCTGGTGCTTTCTGTTCTCAGCCAGTGTCTGTGGCTGAGGTATGATGCTACACCTTCCCTGGTTACAGGGAAATACCAGTCACGGGATTGATTAATGGGTGTATCTTGGTACTATTTTTTAAATTTATGGCGTACCTAAGTGCCCTATGGATAGGCTTGAGGTTCATGCACTGAAAGTGGTCTCTCAGGCAGTTACTGATGTGATTTTGTGTTGCATAGAAGGGTTCCAGCTAACCTCAAGTGTCTTAGCTGAGGTATTGCTCCCTACAGCCTAGCCAGAGCAGAGTTCATGGGGTTTGCTCAGTGTGTGCATGTCCAGCTTCCCTGGCTGCCTGTGTGCTGGAGAGAAACTCCTCCTGGGATTTATGCTAAGCCAGTTTTAAATACAGAACAGACCCCTGTGGAAAAGGCAGAGGAGTGAGGTCGGGATGGAAAGCTGTGGTTTTGAGGCTTTTCTTCTTGTTTGATTTGCTGGGGGTGTTTCCTCTTCAGTGTTGAGAGAGGCCCTATCCTCTCGAGAGACTGGAATCCCAGTCACACTGGATCTGGCTACATGTGGGGTTGGACTGCTTTGCTGCAGAGGTGGTGTCCTTATTTGCATTACTAAAATATCTGTCATAATATTGCCTCTGGTGAGCATGCATGCATGTTTCTTTCTTTTCATGCACTGTTTCTTTCATTTTGTCCATCCTGGAGTGCTGAGTTTTAGGATACATGCAGTCTGTGCCTTGAAATACTTCTCTGATTACGTCCCTCACTCTGAACACATCCCTCACTCCCTTTGGTGAGGGAAAAGTTTCTAATCCGGGCAGGATAGACACGTGTTTTATGAACTCCTGTCCCTGTGAGCTGATGGGTGCAATGGGGTGGGAAATCAATGAGTTTTTTAACTAGACTGATCTAAACTGATGTTATATCTGGGCATGTGCACAGAGGCTAAGAGCTGCTCTTTCCTTTTCAGTTCATGCCTAAAAATTACAGCTGGGGTGGATTTACTGGGGAGTGAGCAAATGTTCATCTTCTGTTCCCTTTCTCCTCTCCCCTCCCTTCTGATTTGCTTTGTTAGCATCTCACATAGCGTGCAGACAGGATCACATGATGACAGGGAACAGCATCTTGCCCTGATAATTTAATATGTCTTGATAAATCCAGCAAGGCTGTCATGGGGGTTTGTGTAATCAGGATAGGAAATGCTGATTTGTACTAACCCAAGGCCCATGAACTGCTGGCACAATCCAAAACACCACAAGGAAATATGGATGATCTGCAACACCTCCACTTGGAAATCCTTCATACTGCCCTTTTTTCCTCCCCAAAACGAAAGCACAGGCAGGCAAAGAAGGAGTGATTGGAGAGAAGGGAAAATTGGTTAACTACTCAAAGTCTAACCTGGCTTATGCTTGTTATTATGCACTTGGCTGTGCATGATTTTTCATTTTGGTTTGAAATAGAATGTTTATGTTCACTTTTCAGAGACAAGGACAACAGTATATTGGTAAATTCCAAATGCTCCTTGGATTGATAAAAGCCAAACAGAGCAGGGCAGAGCTGTCCCTGCTCACTGAGCTCTCCTCTGGAGAGCCGAGCTGCTGGGGATTACCTAGGACAGATCCTCAGCTCACCTTCTGGCCTGAAAGTTTTCGGAAGCAGCTCTTGGGCTCATGCTGCTCTGTTTACAAACATGGATTTTCTCCTGCTGGAAAAAAAGTGATTAGTTGTAACACTGGTCACCACCTCTCGTGAGAACTGTAGGAAGTGTCAGCGGGAGGCAAGGAGGAGCAGTTGGTGTGTAAACGTTGGTACTTCCCAGATGACTTGCAGGTACATCACTGCAATTATGACCCCGAATACTTATGCAGATGAGTAAGTGTATGGACATGAGCTGTCTCATCAGTAGTGCTTATACACCTGAGTCATCCCACTGGATACTGGGACAGAGATCTCTGTTCTTGGTTGGCATTAAATCCATATTCCAGAGATTCCTTGAAACTGACCCTTTTTCTTACAACCATTTCGGTTCTTTTCTGAAGTCTGTCAAGTAAACACATTACCACGGTCTCACTATTTTCTAATTTGCATATTAGTTGTTAAACACATTTGACTAATTTTCCACAGTTCAAATCTGTAAGAGCTTATGAACTTCAAGATCCTTCTCTCTGTTTCCCATTTCTTACATTTACTTGTCAAGTCGCAGCACAGTAGATTTTATTAATATTGTCAATTAAATGCCACCTTGCCTTCAGCATGCTTTAACGTAGTCAAACCCGAGAGTGATCTCTCTGGTGCCATGTTCTCTCTGGTAGGCGTTTGCCTGTGTGGGTGTGAAATTGTGCAAACCTGAATGGTAGCATTTTACACAGGTGCGCATGACCCTGCCAGGTGCAAGGCAGGAGAGAACTAAGCTGGCTGCTATCCGAAAGCTGTTATGCTATGATTTGCATCAGGGTTGAAACTTGCCTTTTAAAGCTTTTAATTTTGCACTCCCATGTGCTAAGATCTTTTCACTCAGCATATGCATCTTTAAAAGGCAAATTGCCTCTTTACCTGTCTCTGAGTGCAGTGTAGGAGCAGCCGTATGTAAGCAAAACAACAAATAATTTGGAGTACTGAGAGCAGCTGAAAAGGGAGATGTTTGCAATACATAGGATTATTCCTACGAGTTTTATGTAGTAGTTGAAGTAATTTTTAACCTTGGGAAAACACTGTTTACAGATACTGAATGACATTGTTCCTAGGGAATTATTTAATCACGATTGTAAGAAGTTTTAGTCCCTGGGTGGAGATGTTATAATTTCTAGGACTTTAACAAGGAGTAAAAATTCAAACCTTGATCTTGAAGTAGCAACAGAGTTCACTGAAGGAAATCACATAACAGATGGGCTATAAGATTAATGAGCCAGTTGCAACTTCCTGATGAGTTTGTTACCATTTGCTCATGTGTGCAGGAAGAGATTAAGACAAATAATTCTCGTGCATTCCTTCACTTGAGCTCTTTTGCTTATATCCTTCCCTGTGATGTTTTTCCCTCTTTTAAGGCAGAAAGAATTGTGTTTTACCCATATGCAATTGTACTTATATGCAATTGTTTTTATTGAACATTAAATTGAAGAGTTAAAGGAGAAGGCAACTCCTTCTCCAGAGCATCATGACCCTGGCAGAGAGCCAGAGTGCTGCAGGTCAAATACGATATGGTTGCTGCTTGTTTTGTCTCCTGCTTGGCTGCAGATTGTTCTCCAGGTGGGCAAAACTTGCTTCAGGAAGCCAAAAATACTTTATAGCTCTTGACAAAGGATTTTGTGGTGCAGTATTTTGTGTCTGCATCAGCCTATGCCTGCCTGTAGAGATGAGCCACAGCGTGTAGAGCTGGGAATAAACTGTCTCCTTCCACAGCGCAAGAGCAGGCTGAGATAAGGAGCAATATTAATCTGTCCATATGACTTCTGTTTCCATGCACATGACTCTCATGTACATAGTGCAGATCTCTGATCTGTGTGAAGGTCACGCTGCACATTAATTACAAACTAGACTTGAGTACAATAAGCTCCTTCCCTATTTCTTGGTAAGTGTTAAGTTGTTTCTGTAATTATTATTACTAATATGCAGTTAATATGTTCAATGGGACTAGTGCAGAGAAACACCCACTGCAGAAGGTCAGATGGGTTTGAAGGCTACCAGAATTTCAGCTTTCCTTTGCCATACAACTGCCCTTTGGCCCTGTGAACAGACCCTTGAAAATGCCACCAGAGTCCTGTGCATCAAGGCTACCTGAGAGTGTCTTTCAGTCTAAAACAAAGGCTATAACAACTAAATAAAGGAAAACCTGTTGCTATTTGTCAGGTATTAAATAATCTGTGAGCATGTGATGCTAAAAACAGTTGTACTGATCAAGGCAAATGAGAATGACTAGAGCTGACTGTCATGAAGAGCTGCACACTTGCTGCCCTGTTTCAGCATCAGAAGTTGAGTTAGTTTGGAGTACTCTTTCTTGCTTATCCATGAACTTCTCCCTGATGAACAGC